TCCGTCCGTCTATCTTTCCCTCTCTCTGTCTGTCTATCTGTCTGTCTGTTTGTCTGTCCGTCCGTCTGTCTGTTCGTCCGTCTGTCTGTCTGCCTGTCCGTCCGTCCGTCTGTCCATCCGTCTGTCTGCCCATCCGTCCGTCTATCCCTCTGTACGTTTGCTCGTTCAAGTCAGGACTTGAAATTTTAAATGCTTAATGATGCGAATATCAGATCCCAATTTTTATTTGTATACCAATATATATGTATGTAAATATAAATAGATATTTGTATGTATGTATGTATATATAATAATATTTTTCCTTATACAAACAATCGGCTTGTGCTTAAGAAGTTATATCAAATTCGCATGCATCAAAAATTACCGAAATATGCTGAGCAATAAACATTTGCCAACGCAGCGAGAAAATAATTCAATACACGCAGAGAGAGAGACAGAGTGTGTGTGTGTGAGAGAGAGAGAGAGGGAGAGAGCATGGCACGAGCACCCACTTCTACATATATTGCTCGCCATGGGAGCTGGCAACATCTTGAGTGTGCTGTGGCATGCCATAAAAGGACTTTGATGCCGCGATGCCTGCCACTTAGCCAAACGCTGCGCATATTATCGATGGCCATAATACGAGGGCCCGAAACCAGAGGCTGTTGTTGTTGCTGATGTTATTGTTGCTGTTGTAGTTGTTGCTGCTGCGTTAGCCATTAAAAACTTTCCGGCAATGCCATTAAAATAAAAATCGAGAGCGTGTTAAATGATTTACAAAAGCAAAAGCTGAACGCTGAAGCTGAAGCTGAAGACTGTAGCTGAAGCCAGAGCCCGACCAGGCCAAGATGAAGCCAAAAACAATTTCGTTGCTTGCGGGTTTATCGCATTGGCATAATGTGTTTCAGGTTATCCCATTTGCTAGACCTGCGCCCCTCCTTCTCCCTGCCTACCCTTTCGCCGTTCGCCGTATTTATTTTATGCGGCTTTTGCGACAAGTTAAAGCTTTTGCCACGCCTACCCCTGCCCCACGCACAGGCAGTGCTCTTCTGCTGTGCGTCTGCCAAAGACATTTTCGTATTTTATGGCTCTTATGACTTTTCAATAAGTTTTTCCACGTCGCCCTCAAGTCGAGCGCTGGCGCTTTCAGCTCCGAGTCTTGCCAGGGCAATACCAAAAATTTATACTTATGGCCAAAAGCCTGCAATCGGATATGGCTATCTAGTGGTGGTGTGACGCTATATGCAGTGCACTTGCGCGATACGCCAAACAGTTTGCTTAGATTGTGCTCTAGGTATTAAATGTTGTACGATTATTGAGAAATTTGAATTCCAGTTTATTTATTTGCTTATTGAGCTGTTTATTGTTCAGAGTTTGCTTAAGTTTCCAGCTAGAAATATATATGTATACACATATGGCATATAAGAGCTGGCTCTCGCATTGCTAAAGATTTTTCAGAGTTTGCCTTTGAGCTAACTGCACTGTTATATCAGCTGTATATCAGGTACTAACTTAATTTGCAGTTGGCCATCGATTGCTTTGACCTTCCATTAACTGATTGATTGCCGGCCATAAGCACGGGCAATATATCCCTGGGCACTAAATTGATATGAGATAGTTGTTGTGTGGCTGCGTTTGCTATTCAATTACGCACTCACTTCAAGCGTGCATGTTAGGGTGAGTGAGTGAGAGAGGGGGGTGCAGAGAAGTGGAAGTGTGGTGCTGTGGTGGTTGTTGCTGGGGCTGTTGCTGGGGCTGTGGCTGTGGCTGTGGCTGTTTGCTGGTCAACTTAATGCAACTAATCGCCTACCATTAACCGCCAATGACACTTTTATGCCTCTTTAATAAACTTAAGAAACACAAGTGACACTGCCACTGTCACTGGGGTGCTCACTGTGCGTGTGTGTGTGTGTGTGTGCGTGTGACAGGCGCTTGTCCAAGCATCACAAAACTTTCGGCACGTTGCGGCAATGTCTTAAGCGAGTTTTCTCACCCGCCAGCGTCTCGCACTCGCTCATCGAAGCGTCTCCCAGGAGTTTGTACAACTTGTTTCATGTTGTTTCAGCTGCTCGCAAAGCAAACACACACACACACACACACACGCACACACACACATACTCGAAGCACTTATATCAATAATAATTCCCATTTGTAATAAAGCCAACTTAAGGGCGGCATTTTGAGGCATTGCGGATTAGCCCATGGGGCAAGAGTTGCATGCATTAAGTGATATGCATAAATAAACAACAATCCGAATGAAAAGTGACCATGTGTGTGTGTGTCTGTGTGTGTGTGTATGGCAGTAATGTTATATCAGCAACGATGGCGCGTTGCTATTGTAACTGTGCTCGCCATATCAAAAGTAAATTGATACAAATTGTATAATAATCACGTCATTGCATTTTATTTTGCGCCATGGCAACGGCAGCGGCAATAATGGCAAAAAAAAAACAATGGCACGTGTGGCTTAATGGCAACAACGAGAGCAGCAACAACAACAACAATAGCAGCTGCAACAACAAGAGCAAAAAGCATTGCGCGCTGTGGACAAGTTAGCAAAGTGCTGTGCATTAGCCTGGCGGCAATTTCATTTGTTATTAATAGCACATGGTCACACTGAGCAAATGGCAAACTTAAATGACATTCAGCCAGCCCAGAGAGAGAGAGAGAGAGAGAAAGACAAGAGAGAGCGAGCGAGCGAGTGAGTGAGTGGGTTGGGGACACAGTAAGAGGCAAAGACGATGCGAAATGTTTTAAGACAAAAGTGGGAAAACTTTTAAAAAGTCAAATAGACAGTAATAGCAGACGGTCACACTGTGCGCGAAGAATAACAACTTGAGATGG